CCAAGCTGTCTGCTCGTGTTTCTTGCCCTGCCAGACTCCTTTGTAGACGGTCTCTGTGATCCCAAGCTTGGTTATTATTATCATCAATTAAATTATTATCAATCAAGAGTAACCGACAAATCAACAGAAAATATGACTCAAGTTTTAATAAACAGCAATTATCCTTCACCATATCTGTTCCCCCTCTCTCTCTAATGGCTTCCATTTTTCAGACAGCTGTTGCTGTGATTGTGTTTGCCCGCCTCCATCCACCCACCCACCCACACACACACACACACACACACACGCTGGACCTTCCTCCCACTCCTACTGTGCAATAAAGGCCCCGCAGATGTGAGATCATTTGAAAAGCCACCTCAGCGAGGTCAGAGCTGCTGTTGGCCCACAGTGATGACACTCCAGTTCATTTTACCACTGAAAACCTCCTTGACCTTCCTCTACCACCTTTAAGGGACTTTAACATAATGATGGTGTATTTTAATATTAATCACTGTCTTTCTGGAACAATTGCTTCAGTTTCTTCTCAGTGGGTCAGTTCACCCAAAGCCAAGCAGGTAGTTTTGGTTTTATCTGCCCAGGTTTTGAAGTATCCATCCCTCCATCACCTTAATTCAGTGGACATGAATGGAATTTTTGTTCCTGTGCTAAAATCAATGAAAGGTTTCATTTGAAAAGCTCAACAGAAATGTTTTTAATGCCCAGGTTTCTAATCACAGTCCCTGATGTCAGCGCTTTTCACTGGGACAATTCTTCTGTAGAAAGTATTTCCAAACATGTTTTTTAAGTTCAATTTTTTCAATGCATTGAGCAGAGAAACCTAAATTAAAGTCACCTCCACTGTACTGGAGAGGTGGGAAATATTTCACATACAGATATCCTACGCCCTCGAGCTGCTAGCCTGCAGCAGAGAGGAGGGTTGGTCTGGTACGGTGTGTGGAAAAAAAGAACAGAAAACTACTGTATCTGGAAAAAAAGGCAACGTGACATGAGCTGGAAATTTCCAAAACAGGCACGAAGGGTCAGACTCTAACATCCTCACTGCTGTGTGCTTGTACTTCTGGCCGTCTAGGTACTGAAGCTGAAAACATCCTGCATTTTCATGCCCTTTGCACCACAGTCTCTTTTATCCAGCTATTCAGATGTGAAGCATCTCATCAGTGTCCTTTGCCTTAAACCTCGCCTGGCTGGCAGCCTCCTGCCTGCATTTCTGTGTTCAGTTTAGTCTGTTAGAAGCCTGGAGTCAGTCTGAATATCCTGGCAGGGGCTCCAACGTTTATTAACCTGTCGTGTCAGATGCCGTCTGTTCACCCACCACTAACGCTCGTTTCTTTCCAACCACCGTGGCTGTTATAAGGGCTTCATTTTATGGCTCTTTGGTGGTGAAAGCTGGCCCGACGCGCTGTGCAGCTGTTAAAGAGAGGCTTGTCCCTGCTTTGTGGCAGTTGGGGTCTTAATTCATCTTGCAGGGTCTAAAGAAGGGTGCTGAAATGTTCTTTAACAAGTAAAGCTAATTTAAGTAGATTCACTGCTGAAGTGTGGGTTCAGTTATAAGATTTGTCATCGTTTGTCAACCATCAGCAGCGGTACTCTTTAGTTCTACTGTTTAGTGTTAACAGGCTGCTCTACAAAAAGATGCCCGCTCACCTGAATGGCTCTCTTAATCTGTTATCTTTTATCTTTTTGCATTTTTTTTTTTTCAAAACAGCCATGTAAAAATATACTTAGCTTGTAATGTACACACTGTAGCACATATCAGTTGTTTTAGATTTTTGAATGCCAATCTTTATGAAATTACAAAAACGTTATATAAAATTGAAACCCAAATTGATCTGATTCAGGAGGACTTAAATTCTATGAAATGCTGATAGACCCCAGATTTCTTTCTTTTTGTTTGAGAGGAAATTTTATTTTTATTAGAATTTGTTCTTATGTTAACATGGATATTTAAAGTGGCTACAATCTATATTTTTATAGTCACGGATTAAAGGATAATGTGGAAACAGTGTGCCATTTTTTAATGGTTTGTTGGCAGCAATGTGAGAGAATTATCAGCTGAATGTGCAGTTCCATTGGTTTTACAGAGATGGCTACGACATCTTTGGCAGCCGTTTTCAGAGAGCGAGCTGTAAAAACTGTCCACTAGCTGCTCAGTAGCAAACGGCAGACAGATACAGAGACTAGCTGGTGAACATACAGAACTGGAGTATTTAGCAGCTAAAGACATAGACATTTTCCTCAGAAGTGAATATAGATAAGTTATCTGTGTACACAGGGGAGTTATTAGCTATGGCTGGGCATGGGGAGAAGAACATCAACCGGTGGTTAGAGCAGTGCTGACAGGCTCAGATTCCAGTTCAGCTTCGGTTAGCTTAACGAACATTCACTCAAGAACAAGATAAGACATAGTATTTGATATAGTTGCATTAACAAACATTCTTCAGAAATCAAAGTTCAGTTGCTGTGGATACCAGTACATAGAGGAGCAGGGGCCCATGAGCAAGCAGATACGAGTGCTAAAGCAGCAGCGGGCAGGGTGAATATATGTTTGGAGATCAAGTATAGTGAGGCAGAATTACAAAGTCTAATTAAGGATAAAATACAGAAGCTTTTATGGGATAATGGAAGAACTGGATGGCAGTTATATGGAATTCAGAAGCTGAGCAGGAGGAGGAATACTAGTAGGTCAAATATAGAGATGTTTGAAATATGGAAATATAAAATTGAACGGTACATTATTTTTAATCAACAAACTTAATACTGGAAGATGGAATTATTGTGGTAGGCAAGAAACGGTAAAACATATTTAAGGACTGTCCAAGACACTATCAAGAGAGACACAGATTAAAAATACACCTTGAAGAAAATAAAATAACGTTTAATATAAAGCATATATTGCAAAGGAACGCAGGGGCACAGTGTTTCAGGGGTATGTTTTTCTTTTCTGGGAATGCTGGGTTAATAAATACAATATGAATGTTTAGATTGATTACTTTGACCCCCACTCCAATCCGAAGGTGGCGGTAATGCACCTGACATTACTTGCCAACTCCCAAAAAAACTGAAGATTTCCCTCAGGAGTTGGTGGAGACCAAACACAGAGCTAAAAGGGAGGGAATGCTGGACGTGTGCTTGTGGGGAAGCTGTGCATGTATCTGTGACCAAACATCTTGTTGCTGTCAGAGTTTTAAACTGTTTTGTCTCAGCCACTTTCTGCTGTCATGGTTCTAACCAGCTTCTTCAGCAGTTTGTGTAAATGAATTCCTATCAACGTAGTCAGTTTCCTGACTCTTCATTCATGTTCTCTCTTTTAGTTGCTCCTGCTGAGACGTCTTTCCTTTCTCAAAGCTTGAGGGGGGCTTACAGCTGACAGTGCTGACGTCCCGTTCTCACTTTGAGTGTTTGTCCTCTGTGTGGGACCCACATCCTGTGGCACACACATCTGGAGCTGCAGCCTGTATTACTCAAATCTTTCTGTATCGTCACTGCTTATCTGCCAAATGCTGTGATTCATGTTGCGCTTTTTGCGGCGGGGCCATATTTCCAGTAACATTTTGTTCCGCCACCCCATCTGGTGCTGGCGCCTGCTGCTCTGTTCGTTTGCCAGAAAGCTGTGTTTGGATGCATGTTAAGCATAAGAAACAGACGTGGATGCCCAAGCAGCTCATCAAGCTTGTCCTTTTGTACACTTGCTACAGAAGAGGTTTTTTTGTTGTTGTTGTTTTTTGCTTTGTCGTTGATGCGGATACTCTTCACTTGCCAAGTCCAGTAAATGCACAGGGATGTCTGTCTGACGCTGTTGCAGAGACAGTCTGTCTACCAGCTAACAAAAATTTTACCAGGAAGGAAAGGAGAGACAAACTGCTCATCAGTGTCCTCTTGTTTTAACAACCAGTACAAATAGATTTTGCGTAGTCACTGCTACAGTTATATAATATATTATGCTCAATAAGGACAGTTGATGCACAAAGACAGACAGTTCAACCTCATTTAAAGAGACGTGTCACATAAGTTTCAGAGCAAATTTAATAGAACATGTTACATTTCCCCATCTATGCCTTTGTGTCTTGATTTTTGTAACTGAAAGAAGAAAAGAGAAAGACATGAACCCTATAATAAACACATTTCCACAAATGCAAACGTACAGTATGTCTCTGCAGCGTTGGTACATTAACTACAACTCCATGGAATCAAACCGTTTAGTAACCTGCATGGAGTATGACACACACAGATGATCAGATAGCATGTCTCCGCTTTGACATTTGATAAAGCAACAATCTTTGGGCAGCAGTTGAGCCTTTTGTGTTTCAGAAAACACACGACATCGGCCGATTGGCATCAGTTACTTCATTCATGCGCTGCAACTCCAGGTGAAGATTGTTTTGCTTTTAGTGTCCCAAGATTATTTTTTCATTCTACCACATGTAGCAGCTTTAAAAATGTGGCTTTTCATCCAAATCTAGCCATTTTTAACAGAGATGTCTAGACACTTTTTGTGACCTGCAAATCAACAAACATTCTAACTGTACACTGTTTTTAATATGACATTGTACAGATACAGTATGTAGGGTAAATAGTTAACCCGCGATCTTCATTCGACCTCCTTACAATCTTTGTCATGTTGGTGATGTAAATATTCAAGAGTGCTCATTGTGAACGGTTTAAAACGAATTCACGATTAGCTCACCAAGCCTGACCTGTAGGAGGAGAAGAGAAATGGTTTCTGCCTAATCACCGAAACAGTCAGCTCCTCATCAGAGTTTCCCAGGATGCCACGCTGTTGCCCGTTTCTGCTAATGAGTGACCTGATGAGTTTAGGAAAACAACTGCATGCTCAGCAGTTTCCTGACTGCAGATCAGCTGGGTTCCTGTGCATAATACCACTCATGGTGCTGCTCACAGTTCAAATAAGAATATTTTTTTTCCATTTGCTACACAGAGGCAAATAATGGAGTTCCTCTTATGTTCTTATGTGGCACTAAAAGTTCCCCGTGTTTCTGTAGGTTTGACCTGGGAAGACGACGCCACCCAGCAGGTTCTGTCAAAGGAGTTTTCCAAGCTGAGGAGGATTCCCTACAGGCCGCAGCAGAACGGGCCTGTCTACGACACAGACGGCAGGTGGGACGATTACCCAGTTTACCCGTCTGTACCGGTGCAATCCATGGAGCTGTCCCCCCATGGTCCAGATCCTGACATTACACTAGCGATGGCTTCAGTCGCGTTTGCAAGCACAAAAAAAATTAAACTTCAGTTGACAGTACATTACTTATAACATTTCAGAGTCCCTGTGCTGTTCAGGCAGGGCTTTGTTTTACTTTTTGTTGTTTAAATTGGAGGTCTCCTTATTTTTTTAATATTTGCCATTTTTTGTGTTTCTGTTTAGTTTTTTGCTTTTCTGTTCTGATCCTCCTTGTGAGAGCTGACGTGGCTCAGAAGGCCCTCAGAGCTCAGCTGGTACTACAACAGGTTTATTAGTAGCAAAGTATTTAGTGACAAATATTCAAACGGTACAAAAACTTGTACAAAAACACATTTTCCTGTGTTAGGAAAACAAAGGTGAAGCTCCCGTGATACAGCACCAGATACAGTATTTTTGCTCAGAGGCTACATTCAACACTATTATATTAATATTTACTTGCTAACTTCTTTATGACCTAGTCATTTATTTGTTTGGTGTTTTATTTCTTCATGGTTTTCGAATCAAAGACTGAACTGAGCAGAGCTACAATGAATGTATCACTGATACACTGGTGCTCATGTAGAAGGTGCTGCGATATTAGCAGAGATGAATTAGACAAATAGATAAATTATATAATCAGATTATTTGATTCAACTTTAATTTTAAAGGCAGCTTAGCGTGGACAGTTGCAATGTGTGTACAAAGACATGTATTCCTTATGAACTTTTGATTAATCTTGATTGTGAAATGACAAAATAAGGAAGAATATCTGTCAGTTTTGCACAGGGTTACATTCATAGAGGTTCTGGCTAAAGAGGAATATTTTGGCTGTACTTTGTAATAATGCAATGCACAGTTTAAAGCAGTACATGACTGGATATGTCCTCCTTTTTGCTCCCCTCATCCTTTAACTCTGTCTCTCTCCCACAGGCCGGCAGCTGAAGCACTGGACCCAGTGGACCAGAGGGTGAAGCCAGTGGAAGTGGAGCTCAGGAGAAACCTGCAGACGTACCTTCAGCGTCTTGGCCTTCTTCCCAAGATGCCGTCTGCCGCCAGCCTGGGCACCCCCAGCAAGGTGAGGGTTTTCTGGGAGCTTCTTGTGTCTCTATGAGTCTCTGCTAGATTTCAGACGAAGGACTGAAAGCTTTTGGGAGCTAGGCAGTTTGACTAATGAAAGTTGAGTCTTCACTCTGTTTCTAATTAATACAATACACACTTGTAGTGAGGTTTGCTTCATGCTGAGACTAGATTCTGGCAGTTTAAGGTCTATTTTTGACAGCTTTATCCTGTTGACCAGGCAGCCGATGTTACATTCATTCCTCTCAGTCTTGGTCTCACCTTAGGAACAGTGCAGTTAGAGTTGGGCAGTATGAAGATACTGTAGTGTGAGAAGATCTGTAGTAAATGGATGTTTAAACTTGACTGTCTAGTATTGAAGTTTAAAGAACAAGACATTTTTTGGCAGCCACTGAATTTTCAGTGGGATTATTTAATCTATAAAGGATTTTAATTTACATGTAAAATACAATATCACAAAATGTTGTTATCACAGTATTGTGGTATACATGGTATGTACTGTATATGTATATATGATGATTGATGTTCTAACCCACACTACCCACCTCACTGCCAGTGGTACCTTCTGTCTAGTGAGGAGTACTTCTCCATCATGCAGCTACTTTGCATATCTGAGCTCTCAAATAAAAGTACAAAGCTAGTCTGTTTGTTACTCTGTATTGCATGTTTGTATTGCATTCAAAAAGGAATATGACTTAATATCAGTGAACCTCAGCTCTTGCTGCTCCCTGCCTCGTATTGAACAGGGTCAGAGTAGGTGGGGCATTTTTCCCAGCATCTGCATGAAGCCACACCCTCTGTTCACCACCTGCCTCCGTTCAAAAAAAAAAAAAGTCCACACATGCAGCACACACTCACAAGCACTCAGTCATGTAAAAACTCACACAAAGACACGAGCACAAACACCGTCACAGTGGGAATCCGGTGTCATCACGCCGCTCTCTCTTCCTCTCCTAACTGTTGATTCCTCTCTGCTTGAACGTTGCCAGTGAAATAATACCAGCCAGAGTTCAGGAGTTCACTGCGCTAATTAATGACTCTGCATGTCACCAGTTTTGTAGCAAAGGCTCAGAGTATGACAATGTGGAGCCCCGCAGGCGTCGCTCCGGGCTCGGGCCCCTTTCCATCCAGGTTCACGTGTTGGGTGGAAAGGAGCAAGAGGACTGAGGGGGTCCTGAGGGCACGAGCGCAGCGCACTACAGCAACTGTGTGACATAGATGAACAAAGATACCGGCAGTGACAAATATCAGAACGGGCGTCGCAAAAACAAATCATTAAGAAGTATGACAACTGTGAGGAACTGGACCATTTATGTTGGTATTGTTATGATAATTTTATCAGGCGTGGACCATTTCGGTATCCTAGGTGGGCATTAGCAGTGACAACTCACTTTGTTGTATTTGATGGAAATGTTAATTGCATAAATGGATTAATAAATTGTGATGTTGATCAGGGTGGGAGAAAGGCTGCTTTGGCCCCTGTCGCACTCGCTTCTCTAACCTTTTGGCCACCACCGACCGAGTCTTGTGGCTCAGGCGTCTCACTAAATCCAGTGGCAGCACAAGCATCAGGCATATTTATAATTTTGCCTCTAACTTTCCTCCGTCTGTCATGTGCCTCTCAAAGTACATTAAAAATGCACCCATTGTTGTGTTCTGGCAGCTTTTTTTGAGGTGTAGGTTTGTGGAAATATGAAATTCTTTTAAGCAGCACAGAGACATTTAGATTTTAATTTTACTACTCTGTGTGCATCACAATCTCTGGAACAGATTCGTTTTTTCCAATATCCACATGGACCACTGCAGCTAGAAGAAACTGACTAGAGGGAGCTTTTTGTTTACTGTCATTAGAAGACATCCTCATATGCAAGACGAAGATGACTGCACAGTATTCAGTTTGGCTTTAAAATGGCTGCACTGTGTTTTTAAATGAACTCAATGATATGTGCTTCTCTTCATTCTTTCAGAGTGACCGTTTCCAGGTAGGCATCCCTCTAGAAGTCTATCGCTCCAAGGCCCAGACTTCAGCTCAGAGGTCGTCTCCCTCCAGCTTCTCTTCCCTTCCATCCCTCCAGACTCTGCAGAAGCAGAGACCTCCAGCCAACCAGCTCGTCGTTTCGCAGGCTGAGGGTGGCCTTCTGCTCGGTGCCCTGAGGCAGTATCTCTCCAGGCAACTGTCCCTGCATGGTGGGGTGGTGAGCCCAGATCAGCACGAAGCCTCCTTGTCCCGCCCGAGGCCCTTCTACAGCAGCAGAATAGAAAATTCTGGGCTCAAGAAGGATACCCTAAAATCCAGGCTTCTGAAGATGGGAAGAACTCAAGAGGCTTCGGTGAAGGACCCGCTCACATCTGTAGACGGTGCGTGTTTTAACTCATGAACATGTTTATGCTGGGATGTAGAACTTTCCTGTAGTTTCATTCACTGGCCAGTCTGTCTCATCATCCATATACAAACTCATCTTTTAGCTCTTTAACTACGAGTCCTGAAAAGCCACAGAGAGGTTTTGATTCAACCCCGTGGTCATTTTTAAGCTTAATCTGTCCATTTTATTGAATTGAAGCACTATATTATAAATGTGGTTGTCAGAAAATGTAGTTCAAGAGAAAATCTGTAAACGTGGAAAGCATAATAATGTGGTTTGTTCCACTGAAACAGCTGCTGCACAGCTGATTGAGAGCTGAATTGCTGTTATGCTACTGTACATAATAGAAGAGCAAGCGGTGAATTTCCTGTGGTTCATTGCTCCAGTGTCCAAGTCATCGCTCCTAAGTAGCAAATTATAACATTCGTTGATGCCTTCCAACACAACCAGTATGACCGTTCCAAAGGTTGTGCTTATTTATTTATTTATTTATTTATTTATTTATTTATTTATTTATTTATTTATTTATTTATTTATTTATTTATTTATTTATTTATTTATTTATTTATTTATTTATTTATTTATTTATTTATTTATTTATTTATTTATTTATTTATTTATTTATTTATTTATTTATTTATTTATTTATTTATTTATTTATTTATTTATTTATTTATTTATTTATTTATTTATTTATTTATTTATTTATTTTTATTTTTTTATTTACTTCCCCTCCTTTTCCCTTTCTTGCATTTCATAGACTGCATAAGTTGGAAATACCCACACTTCACACAATACAACCTTGTTAAACACTCTATATCCTTTTGTAATGTCATGTAACTGTTGTCTTGCCACAAACTGCTTAAAAGAAACCACATTAACTTATAGTCAAATTACATTTTTACAGTCTTTTTCCAGAAATGTGCGGTTGGATTGATGTTGTGGCAAAGGTTGAGCTCACTCAAACTTGCTTCCCAACAATGCTTCATGTTTGTTGCAGCTCTCTGCATGGAGCAAAATCACTTAAGGACTGTCAGAAACGGCGTGCATAATGCGGCCGAAAAGTGTTAGGTGAACTCAATTCAACGGCCAGACGAGGAAGTGGAA